ATATGTGTGTATATATATGTATGTGTGTATATATATATTTATCAGTCTGGCGAGTAAACAAAAAAATTTACTAGCCAATGGCGATTCAATTGCCAAGGTGTTCGTAGAGGGCTGAAGAGGGCAATGCGGTACAAATGGTCAAAAACCTAGACATACAGTAACTTATAATGTGAGATGATGAAACAAGAAAGTTATAATAATATATGCTTATCTGATGGTGTTACTGTATAGAGCACAATATTTAAGTCATTAATTTTTTTTGCATAAATGAACTGATTTTTAACAATGTCTCCATATACTCTCAAATACTTACATATTTGCATACAACTACCATTTAAAAGTTTGAGGTCAGAAAGACAATTAATACATTTATTCAGCACATTAAATTGATCAAAAGTGACAGTAAAGATAATGTGACAAAATATTTCAAATAAACAATGTCCTTCTGAATTTTCTATTCAAATAAAAAACACATTTCCACAAAAATATTAAACAGCCCAACTGTTTTCAACACTGATAATAAGAAATGTTTCTTGAGCAGCAGATCAACATATGATTTCTGAAGGATCATGTGACACTGAAGATAATGATGCTGGAAATTCAGCTTTACATCACAAGAAATAATTATATTTAAATATATTAAAACAGAAAATTAGAAAAAAATAAAATAAAATCACAATACTACTGTTTTTCCTCAATATTTCAATATTGCAATCAGTAACCATAAAGGTTTATACTGAACTATCATTTTAAACATGATTGTAATTTACAATGCTTCTAATTTTTATACTTCTTCACTGATGTGAAATGTAAATAGCAAAAATTAGGAGGAAAACTAAAAGACAGCTGAAAACTGTTGTGTATGACATCACAATGAAGGCACGTTCAAATCTGTGATTGATTTCATACATTCATCACTCAAGGAACTCCTAGTGCCATTGCCAAGCAACAATCTTGTTTCCATGAGACAAAGTTGAGCCGTGAACCACATGAAAGCATTGTGGGAAGTTCCCCATTAGAACAGGCATCACACAAAAACAACAGAGTTCAGTCCAAATGCACTGGCCTAAGCTAGAGATTACTAAACACTCCACGCTCAAACACAGACGCACACTGCTGTTACCTTGACATTTATCAGCATGAGCCCTTCAGATCGCTGTAAAGCTCTGCACTGTGCAGGTATGCAAGAGAAACAAGTGTGAATTGATGTATAAAGACACCAAAATGTCGCACAGTGCATGACAGGCACTGCTGCTTAAATACAGTCCTAAAAGTAATGCCTTAAAATACCATTTTGCACATGTGATACAAAAGTTTGCTCTTGTCTCAGAGCAATATGTTATAATATGTGCCCATATGTATTCCCAATTTTTGGTACATAATCATTACTTTTGAACAAACAAACACACAACACATCTTTAACATATCAATTAACACCAATGAGACTAAATGGAGAAACAATGTCACACTTTTGTTAAGAAAAAGACCCCAGTAATCTCACAATTGTCTCCCCTCATGTTTCAGGAAAGATCTCAATAATTTCTCAAACTGTTCCCATCTGTCAAAGCCTGGTATTATTAGTCAAAAGATGTAATTCAAAACCAGATTATACGTACAATTTTATCCTCTATATGTCAGCTGTCATCTCAATTTTGTCTTTTTATTTATCTGATGGAATTTTACGAGAAATAACTTCGACAAAGTTGATATTTGATTTAAACACAACAGAGACCTCCATTATCTCCTAAGCTACAGAAAAGAGAAATAGAAGAGCATTTTGTTTTTTAAAGAACTGGTCATATTAACTAAATTCAAATTTATTTGTACAGCACTTTCCAAACTACACAATGTTTCAAAGTGGTTTTACAGAAAATCATGATATTAATGCTTATCATATTTTAATATCTTAATGACTTAGTCACATTTAGCAGATTAAAACTGAGTGACAATATAGATCATGTTATGTGGCGATACAAGCAATCCAGCAGTTGAGATTTGCTATATAGTATACAGTATATCCCCATACACAAGTATACTGTATGCATGCAGATATACTTCTCGAAGTTGTAAATAAACCAGAGTGCTGGGGTACATTTTACAAGAAAATACTATTTCAGTCTTTCTACTTCCAAATGTCATGTTTAATTCAATTTTACCTAAAAAGCTTATTGATAATATAGTACGTTATATAAAAGATACACATATTATGCTTTATCAGTTAAAATTTAGGTTTGATTTCTTTAGCAGAGTCCAACAGTCACCTAATTTACATTTAAGCTGCAGTCGCAGCACACCCTGGAGGAGGAGTTCATTCAGACTATATTCTCTAGTCGTTCTGGTCTTCATCTTCTGCCTTTATTAGGACACGGAGAGCTCACTGGCAGCGTGAGGTTTGTTTAAATTACTGCTGAACTACAGACTGCGCTGTGAGAACAAGCAGTCGAACATACCTTACAGACAGGAGTCAGGTGTGGATCTCAAACACTACAGGCTGAGCTCCCAGACAGACATACAGTCCTGGATTGAAAATGATTCTCTGTTAGGACAGTCTCAATATGTCTCGTCGTTCTGTCTTC